TGTTTATTCAGGCAACTGGTGAGAAAACATACAAAATGAAAAAAAAAACATACAAAATGAAAAGAAAATATAATATGCAGCAAAATATAATATTGACAAAATAAAGGTATACATTGCAAGTATTCACATTGCCATCACAAAGATATGATAGTTTTTTTAATTGTTCACACAACCCAGACTTAATAAAAAATCATTATATCTGGGCTGTGTGAACACACCCTTATAAATTATAAATGTTGAAAAGGTTATGTATTGTGTTTTATAAAGAGTAGCTTAAGTAACAGACCATTATTATGACAGCAAAAGAACACAGATGTTTGTCAAAATAGCTTCGTCAGAAGCATATGAAGAATGACATTTAGATGATTTATGGCTTTAATCCAGACAATAATATAATATTGCCAAAATAAAGTAATGACATTTTAAGTAACAAGCAGGTATGCAAACTATTTGTAGACATTTTTTAAAAACTTAACCATTGTGTAATTCCTCTCATGAAAATAGTATATAGTACACATTGGGTCTTGAATACCAATTACAAAATCTTCAAATGAGATGTGAGATGGCCAACCAAGTGTTCTAAAAATATTGATGCAGTCTGAATAAAACCAAGCCAACCAGAGCAAAAACAACACATCTTTAACTACACCCCATTTTAGATAGACTATCACTCAGGTGGAATGGATTTAGATAAGATAAGGTAATCTTTATTTGTCCCTCCAAGGGGAAATGGCTGTAATTAGGAGGGATTGCAGACCCCCTTCACTTAAAGGAAGGGTCTATCTTAACAGGTTACATACCACACATGCACTATTGTGGGCTGTCAATCAGAAAAACACAATAGGTATAGTTTATTCATTTGTTCACTTACCCCTTGCAACTGCTAATAGATAAATTGGAGTTGGAAATGAACAACAGTTTTTTTCTCTTTTCCTTTTTTTAAGGACTATGCATCTTATAGTGGGGGTCTACCACCTGCTTGTCTCCATGGAAATGTTATTTAATTACTTTGCACGGAATGTTCCACAGTATGACAGACAACTATATTATCTCAATTACATATGTTTATGTTGCTATAATGCCATAAAACATTATTACAAGAATGTTTTGGTAGCAAATAATCTTTTTATTTGATATCTAAATTAGCATTCATTTAATTTGATATAACTAAATTTGTCTTAATATTAATTTTGTCATTGAAAGTGAGTGCTATGTTTCCATATAGAATTCCCTCAAATCTGCCTGCTTTCACAAGTCCATTTCTAATTATAGCCTGAAGCTGATTAATGAACATAGAGTGTTGGAGGAGAGACGCTCCTGTGAAACGCACATATTTAGACTTGTACAGACATTTTGGCGTCTGTTGGTTTACATTTAGATTTCTCTGTGGCCTTAAACACAAGTGGGTAATCCTCCCAATGTGAAACCTAGGCCCATTTCTGAGCACACCACCTCTGTTGTCATCAGATGAACTGCCACCTATTTTGGGAGTGACCCCCTTTAGTTTTCCAAGCTTCAGCGTCTTTTATTCCCCGTCCTGGGAACTCAACCTACACACAGGAGCCCCTTCAGTGTGCCAACCAGGCCTCCAGTTTTATGTAGCCGCGTGAATAAAAGCTCTTATGTGTTCTTTTAGCATTTTAATGGCGTACATTTTCTCAAGCTGCTCCTTAAAAGAACATTTTGGGGGCTGAGTGTGTGTGAAGTGGTTTGTTGTAGTGCAGAGAGAGAGAGAAGGGAGGGGTTGCAGGATATAGACTGGAGAGGGTGTCCTATACAGTTTGGACAATCACACCCGAACTTCCACTTTCACTCAATCGGCCAATAGCTGTTTTCCTGTTCTGTTTTTCCCATGCAGGCGTCAGAAATCATTTACAAGGTTTTCCATTTCCTCAAATTTGTTCAAATATAGAAAGGCAGGCACTTACAAAATCTTGGTTTGACGTCAGTGAATGTGAAGATACTGAAACTGAATGTCCTCATTTTGGTCTTGTTCCGTAAGTTGTTAAGTAGTTGGAAAATCATCCCACTTTGCAACGGTTATTTAAGGCACTCTATGTAACTTTAGTGGTGGGGAGTTAGTCATCTGCTTGTCCCCCTGGAAATGTTACTATTTTGCCCAGAATGTTTCACAGTATGGTATTAAACTTATATATCTTGCATTTATTCAATTTCATTACACATTTCTGCCAAAAACTATCTTGAAAAGCATACAGTTTTTTAAATGGCATCACCTGCTTGTAACCATGGAGATGCAGATGTTTAATCCCATACTACAGCAGATTTCAGCCAAAGCTATACATCTCCATCCAGAAAAGATACATAGGGCAACTTTAAATATCTGTATTTCCATTTTTCCTATCAGCACGGTATGTTTATCTGTACCGTTTGAGTTCCTCCTCCAATCAATTTGTGTTGGATTTCTAACAGCAGAACAAATGGACACAAAATGTAGGTTACATGCAGATGAATGGACATTAAATCAGGATGTGGAAGAAATTGGTTGGACAGCGTTACATAACATGTGCAGTATGTACCCAAACAGGACATGACCTAAGGACTGCCCTAGTTTTGGAGACAACAGTCGTGATATAACGGTTGTTGCTGGTTTGATCTGTAATGTGATAAATGAAAATGTGAAGAACCGTGTTATAACCCTGAGGTCAACTTAAGGCAATTGAATCTTGCATTGAACATTGACTTTACTGCCCCCTTGTGGATTAGAAGGACATAATGCAATTGAAATGTTAAGGACTTTGTTTTCATAGCATGATGAGGTAACAAATGTAGCTCAGGAAAAATAGCTACCATATAATAAGATACATTGTACACTATGCTTGTTGTAGAATATAGAATGCCTTAAGTAAATACACAAAAAGTATTTCTGAAAACTTAATTACGATATGTAATTACCAGAGCAATCAAATGAGTTATATTTACATTAGGGTTGGGCAAAAAAAAGAAGAAGAAACCATTCCCTTCATTTTGATCATCCTTGATTTTAGATTAAATTAATTTTGAATTTTGATCTTGATTAAAATTATATTCATTGCACAGCCCTAGTTTGCATTTTGATTTAATTTTGTTTAAACCGTTTTCTGGATTTTGTTTTTAGTTTTGTGTAATTATATACTTTATTAAAGAAAAACAAACAAACAAAAAAAAACATTATTTTACTTTTTCAAAAGTTTGAGCTTGTTTCAAAACCTGATAAAATATATATAAAATTTTAAAATTCTATTAGCTCCCTCGTGTGTCCAAGTGAAGCATTACAATCATCTGCAGACCTGGGGGCTGCTGGATCTGTGGGCGGGACCAGTCAGCAGAGTTTCACCTCTCAGCACTTTGCAGGTATAGTTTTCAAAGGAGTGAATCCCTGAGAGGGCTTTGTAGAAGTTACTGCAGTTTGGTCAAAATCAGGCAGGAATAACCAGGAATAACCATGGAGTGTAAAATGATGCAACCAGTGTGACCTATGCAACCATGAGGACTTTGGGGATTGTTTTTATGTTGCTAGTTATTGTTCTGGGAGTTAATGGAGGTAAGGGGCTGCTCAGTACGATTTTAAAAAGTAATGATTTGTGTGCTGCATTAACTGATAAACTGGTTGAGAAACTTGGTGAGAAAACTATTGATCTCCATTCCATGGTGGTTCTACAGGTATTTCCTTGGATCTTGAAATAAAGAAATGTGTTTGTTGCAGTCCTTTAATCCAGACTAATGATGCTGGTACACATATGGTAATATGATGGAGTACATTTTGGAGCATACTTGTTGGTACAGATTTGTTGGATTAGTTTGCCAAAATAGTTTTTGTGTCAAAATTGTTGTATATTGAAAGAAAAACATTTGAATTGTGTAAAGTTTAATGGCCTAATTTTCTAGTATTCCTACTTAATCGTTCAGTTTAAATTTGAGTTCAGAAGTTGTGTTAGACCTGCATTTGACAACAACCTGCCTTATACATGAATTAACAGCAGAGGTGTCTGTGGCAGGAAGATTATATTATTAATCCAATGTTCTTGGTTTCCATAGAGACAGATTATGTATGAACCAATAATCTTAGTGCAGAGGCATGCTGGGAGAAACTGCTGACTGGTTATTTTACTACCACTACTTCACTACTACTTTAGTATTAAACATTACCCAAATGAATGGAAGCATAATATAGCATTGATATTACTTCATTATTTACCATAATGTGTTAGAAAAGAGATGCTAGCAAATGAACATAGACTTCTAGTGTTTGTTGATAAAAGTGAATTTGCAGTTGTTGGTTTTTTTTCTTTTTTTTTTCTTTTTTTGTAGAAAAACTATTGAAATGATGAATTGCCCATAACAAAATTCTGCGTAATAACTGCTAGTGATCAAATAAAAAGATTATATTTCCTTTTGTCAGAAATTATTTAGAAATATAGCTCTGTGCATTTCCGTTTCTGAGTTGTCTGATTTGCCCACTTCCAGTTGGCATCATTTGGTTAATGATGAGGGTTAATTAGCATCCAGTGACCCGTAACAGAGTGCATTAGCTCTCATTAATTGACTTCAGATAGAAGGTGTTAAGGGCAGAGCTGACACTATATCGACTGACTTCTATGTCAATATCTTTAAATGGAATAATTTAGAGTTTCCGGATAGGTCAAAAAAGAATGAAGACTATGCATTTGTCTAAAAATGCCAACAATGTTTGGAAAATAATTTTCTCTTAATACATCAAGAGGTTGTGTCCATGTTCTAGAATTTGATAATGTCATAATATTAGATGCATTTTGGAAGAAAAACATTGAAACTTAAGATCCAAATGTTGAACCATGTCAAGGGAATGTAATTTCAATTCAGAAGATGTATGTCTTTGGGGGTGACTAATCACCACTTTCTGAATAAATTCACTTTTGTTTATTTATCCTGAAAAAAACTTTAAATTTATACTAGTTTTTCACATGGATGGACACAGTAATTACAGAGATATTAACTTTAAACCAGGTCAACAAATCCTCAATATGACCGCTAAACAGTCATTTCTCCCATGGGATTCTGATCTATCCTCCTTCTTGATGTTAAATCTTTCTTTGGATCTTTCAACAGTGTCCTTCTTTGGTGATGGCTACATCCACCTGCGAACAGTTGAGTCCTCAGTCCAGACCACTGTCCACATCAGATTCAGGACCTCTACTCCAACAGGGCTGCTGTTTGTGGCAGCTGGAACCAGAGACTTTTTACTAGTGGAGCTCACCTTAGGGCACCTGCAGGTATTTCATAAATCAGTAATTGACAGCTGTTCACATCAGAAAAATATTTTAATAACTATAGCTTGCTTTGCCAAATTGCCAAGACATTAGTGACTAGTGTTTCTGTATAGTTGTAACAGAAATGGATAGATGTGTTCAGTAAGAAAAATTGCTTTTTAAAAAGGATGAGAAATTGTCCTCAGGTCCATTGATGTCCATATTTTAAGGTATTTACTGCGTTGAGAATGGCCGAAGGGGGGACGCCACGCACGGGTGTCAGATAGCTTGCAGAGAAAAAAAATAAACCCTATGGCATTGAGCTCAACAAGTTTCTTCTTGACTTTAGGAGTGACTGACAACAGCCAATATTCACTTATGGTAGAATAAGATTTAAGTGTTAAGTGCGGCTTCTGTTTATCTATTACAGTCACTTTTTCATTTGTAAATTTTAAATGCTACTTGTAACAGTGTTGTGCTGCACTGTGGGTGAGGGGTTTCGGGACTATAATGTGCTTACAATTATTGCTTAAAAGCCTTGTTACATGCCCATAAAAAGAAAATAGCTGATTTATAAAGTTGATTTATAAAGTTGATGATAATCATCAACTTTGTGTCCAAGATATGCATTCTTCCACTAACCTCATAGTATAACATTTAATACAATAATTTGGAGAGATTACTGTAGAAGGTTTATCACAATATCTAAGTCTTTTTCTGTCCCATTTAGGTCCGTCTGGATTTGGGTTCTGGTGAGCGCTCCCTCCGCTTCGAAAAACACCTCCGTCTCAATGATCTGGCTTGGCACTCCATGCAGCTGACCCATGACCACCATAACATCACCCTAACTGTAGACCGCAACTCCCACACCAGCCTCCAACTACCTGGCCCTGATCTGGAACTCAACGTCAATGATGGCCTATTCGTTGGTGACAAAGCTTGGCTAACCCACCCCTATCTCTTAAACAGCACTCTTGGATTCAGGGGCTGCATGGACGAAGTGGTTTTCAATGAGCATAACTTACTGTCCAGTCTTAGGCCTTATTCTGGCTATAAAAGTGTTTATGAGGTTTCTGTGGGATGCAGCCCACAGTTCTCAGCCACTGAAGAAGATCCTGTCAGTTTTTATAGCTCTAAAGCTTTCATGGCGCTTCCAACGTGGGAGGTGCCACAAGAGGGGGTGTTTGAATGTGAACTGTACCCCTCTGCAGGAGAAGCAGATGGAGTAGTTTTATATAGCTTAGGTAATCACGAAGCATTTGTTGCCATAGAGATCCAAAATGGTTACCTGATAGCTACAGTCGGCAAAGGAAAGACCAAAATGAAGTTGCGTTCTTTGTTGCAACTTAAAAGCCATCTTTCATGGTATCCCATCGAGCTCCGCCTGCTGCCCCACAAAATTCAACTAAAAGTGGGGGAAGAAATACTGTTGACCAATCTCACCATGGAACTTCAGTCTATTCAACTCAAAGGAAATCTGTATATTGGTGGTCTAAGCGAACAGGCAAGAGCAGAGGCAAGGCGAAGTGGACAGCTATTTATTCAGCCAGAGGGACAACTTGGCTCTTTTAAAGGGTGTCTAAGAGAAATGAAAGTCAATGGACAAAAAGCTGGACTCCCCCATACGACTGTTACAAAGGATGTGACTATGGAATGTGATAGGAGAGATGTAACTGTAACTACTACAAGCCCAGTAGAATCTATGAAGATGGGTGTTACCACAGCACAACCAGCCATCAACACCAGGAAGCACCTACAGTTTCTGGTGTTGAAGAGGTTAGAAGTAGCAGAAGGAGGGCGGGCAACTCTAGAACAAAAACATATTAAGGTAAAATATGTGACTTAATTTATTCACATTGACACAGGGACATAATTCTGCAAATATTCCTTAAATACACATAATGAACACTAATGAATTAAAGAAAAAAAAAGTTAATTGGTTGTATTGTAAAGGCTAACTAGTCAAACTTTACTTTTACACTAGAATGGTTGCATGGTAATACAATGGAAATAACAAGGTAACTGGGAATAATGGCGGATAAATGCATTTTGTTGCCTGTTTCTAGAAAATACTAGCCATGTTTTCTGACAATTTACAAGATTGATGATATAACCATAACTTAAAGTAGAATGATATACTATTTTTATACAATTTTATTATGGAGTTGTTGTAGTAAAGTTCACAAATTAACTTTAAAAAATGAGAGTATTTTTATTTATCTAAAATATAAAATTGTTGCATCATTGTACAAGCCTACATTTTTACATTTTTATTGACATTTTTACTTATTTAGTTTGTTCAAAAAGACAAATCTGATGGACTGAGGACAAACTGGGAATGACAGACAGGCACACAGAGACTAGGGCAGTGCAGAAAAAATATTGGTTACAAATATTAGCAAAATGTTCAATATCGAACAGTTACCATGAAATCACCAATACCAATATCTGAATTGATATAACACCCATTCCTTTTTTCTATAGATTATTTGTCATGACCCTTTGAATTGGATAAATGAAACATGTAAATTACTAATGCAGTGTATAATTATAAATTATAAAATACTTAATTTCTAGGTCAATTTGAATTACCGAAAACTACAAATCCACCCATCTCAGCTGATGTTCCACGTTGAAGCTCAGCCCATCCATGGTCACCTCCGCTTGGACCTCCTCCCCAGCTCAGATCTGTATGCAGAAGGAGATCAGGAGATGGCTGGATCAGAAGGAGACCTGACCTTCAGCATTGTGGACCTATGGCAGGGCCGGGTCATCTACGTCCACAGTGGATCGGAGGAGCCCAGCGACTTTTTCATGTTCTCAGTCTTCAGTAGTGGAAAGAAAGAGCTCCCCCTGTTTTTGAAAGGCAACCGTCTGCACCGCTTTGACATCAGCATCAGTCCTGTCAATGATGCCCCAGTGCTGAGTCTGCCAGAGGGGAACCTGTTCACAATGCTGGAAAACTCCAAAAGACAGGTATTAAATAGTGTAAGTATTGGTTTGATAATCTGTGATTTATAGTCTAATAATGCACTTGCAAAACCTGCAGCTAACAACTGAAGTGCTACGAGTGACTGATCCAGACAGTGCTCCAGAGGACTTGATGTTTACCTCACTAGCAGATATAAGAACTGAGGCGGGATACCTAGAACACCAAGATTACCCTGACAGGTTAGTGGTTGACTGTTGATAAATACTATATTGGTTATATTAAAATTATAAAAAAATCTCCTTTACTAATATTTTTCACAAACAACTTTAAGTGCTACACTGTGGCCATTATTCATTCTCTCCACACTTGGCGGTGTTAAGCTGCTTCTGAATGTGCCATGAAATAGTGCTGCCTTATTTACTTCCTTTTTCTTGTGTTTTATAGGCCCATAAATATATTCTCATTGCAAGACCTGAATAGCAATAAGATAAACTTTGTGCACAGTGGGGCTAAAAACTCCAGATTGCCACTACGAGTTAGTGATGGAGAAAAGGTTAGTAAGACCAGATGCTTACTCAACATGCATATTTAAATAGAATTATAAAATACAGCAATTTAAATTTTCATCATTACTTCCAGTTCAGCAACACTGTCACTTTAAGGATCATGGCTGTCCCTCTTGAATACAAACTGGTCAACAACTCTGGCTTGGAGGCAGACCAAGGCAAATCAGCTATTATTTCAACCAATCAGCTTGCTGTTCAAGTCAACGCTGCTGACCAGGGATTGGACATTCGCTATGATGTCATCGAGCTGCCTCAATACGGCGACCTCCAGAGGCTGCACTCCAGTGGGGAATGGAAATCCACAACTTCCTTTTCCCAAAAACTTCTAGAAAAAGAACGCATCAGATATGTCAACACATACTATGGTGTTCAGAGTCAAAGCAATGCCACAGACCAGTTTAAATGTGAAGTGAACATTGGCTTGCATGCCACAGAGGAGATAGTAGTCCCTATAGGGGTTCATTGGATACACTTTAAGGTAACAAGAAGTAAAATGGAACTACATGGTATTCAGGAAGCTGTTATAACCCATGAAGATCTTCATGGTATTTCCAAAGGTGTGAAAGTAAACGAAAGTGAGCTACATTTTAGGCTGTTGACCATTCCTAAAAAAGGACAGATATATTTTAACAACAAAATTCTTCCACTTAACTCAACTTTTAGCCAGAAGAATATTACAGATGGTTTGATAAAGTATAAACTTACCAACAAAGTGCAAGAAGACACAAGAGATACGTTTATTTTTCAGTTATTCACATTGCAAGCCAATTCAGCCAGTTATGACTTTAGAATTAACATTAGGGCAGAGACCAATAGTGTTACTGTACAAAACAAAGGCCTTTCCATTTTAGAAGGAGCCAGTAAAGTTATAACACAGGATGTCCTATTCACTCACACAGCAAGTAACCGGGAAGTGGAATACAAAGTCATAACACCTCCAAGAAATGGGTATCTAAGAAGGATAAATCTCTCCAATTCAACTTCTATCAATGACAACATCAAAACATTCACAAATCAAGAGATCATACAGGAAAGAATTATGTATGTGCATGATGACAGTGAAACCAAGCAGGACTTCTTCACATTTCAAATAGGAGTTTCCAAACCACAGAAGCATGGAGTCAAGAAGGAGGACAGGGACCTAGAGGAGCACAGGTTCAATATTTCAGTGCAGCTTGTCAATGATCAGAAGCCAATACGAGTGGTGGATAAGGTCTTCCATGTGGCTCGGGATGGACAGAGGTTGGTGACCCTGAATGACCTGCGTTTTCGGGACGAGGACTCAGATTTTGATGACAGCTGGTTGGTCTACACGCGGAGGGGGATTCCAATGGGGGAGAGCTGGTGCGGGCCAGTGATACCAACCACAAGGTGTATGAGTTCACACAGCGGGATCTTGAGCAGGTCAGCAGGATCTTTTAAAATTGTATTGTTGTTTGAAAATGATTATTATTCAAATTTCTTTTTACGAAAATCAATTAAATACTCCTACCCAATCTAACTTGACTGAAGTGTACAAGAACTAGAAAGCAATATACTTTATTATAATTTTTTTCCCCATAATCCCAGTCAGTACTAGAATAAGTGAGGCCCCATGATTTATTAATTTATGGCACATCTGAATGGACAATACTAAGACATGCCATAAATTAATAAAGGCATTTTACTTTAATCAGTGATTGCCTTGGGTGTTTTGTATCTTTAAATTAATTCCCTTCCCCAAAGAGCATTAATGTGTTCTATCTTCTTCTAGCGCTCCTTTATTAATTAATCATTAATTTTTTTATTTGTTTCATTAATTTTGGTTGCGTATACTGCACTGAAAAGCCTTAGGAAAACATCTTGTGACTGTAATCTCCACAAATCTAACTCTTATTATTCTATGGAGAATGTTCAGAAATATGTTTTTTTATTTCCATACACTCATGCAGGTGATACACCAGCTCTAGAAATATACATTCTGTACAAAGTTATTGTACATTTTTTTGTACTTGAATTTTAGCAGTATGTTTTCTGTTGTTGCTTTCTGTTATAAAATACATCTGACTAAAAAGTTTTGACCTTCTTTTAACTTAATCTCTCATCTAATCTTTCAGAACAAGGTCTTATTTATCCACAGAGGAGTGAGTTCTGGGCGTTTTGTGCTCTTTGTAACTGATGGGAAACATTACGTCTCTACACTACTAGAGGTAAGAATCACTGCTATTAATCTATACACTTATAATGACATCAGCACATTTAGTAATTGTAATTTATGTTTACTGTAGGTAATAGCCCAAGATCCCTATGTACAAGTAGAAAACAATACAGGCATCATGGTCCAGCGAGGTGGAGTTACTATCTTATCATCAGCCAACCTCAGTGTTGTCAGCAATCTGGACATTAGAGACCCAAAGGAACTAAAATTTGAAGTATTCCTCCCTCCGGACCATGGCCTGCTCCACTTTATCGACAAAGATTTTGAGCCTGTAACAGAGGCAGATGCAGTTTCTACTTTTACCCAGCGTGATTTGGTGACTGGACGTTTGGCTTATCATCATGATGGAAGCCAGGAGTTGTTTGACGTTTTCAATGTGACAGCAAGAGCCAAAGAAGGCAGTGGAGATCGTGGTTCAAACACAGGGAGGAGAGAAGTTCATTTGGACATTGGAATTCCAGTGAAAATTTACCTCGAAAGCCACCAGAGGGCGCCAACAGTCCTCAATATTCAGCCTGTGGTAGTGGATGAGGGTTGCAATATCTCAATTACCAGGCAATATTTAGAGGTAAGAACCTAACTTTTTATTTTAAGTGGTAATACACTATAATAAATTGTGCTTTCTTGTTTTATAGGTGATCCATGAAAACAGTCAACCTTCAGAAATATTGTTTACTGTCAAAAATCCTCCCTCTTATGGCACAATCCAAAGGAATTCATCAGGCCAGGTTTACTTTGATTTAATTCTTAATATATTGTTTTTACTTAAACTTGGATATTTACATACAGTACACGCAGTATAATAGCCAGGCACTTTACGTCCAAAGTAGTCCTTCATTATATGGTATCTTCAACTTTCACTTTCTCTCTGAAAAGTATAGTGTAGTATAGTATAAGTATAGTTTTATGCAGTGCTTTGATTGTAGGACTGGTTGTACTTTTTGGAAGCCCTGAATTCCTACAGTTCCTTTTAAGATATCTAAAGCGCTTTACATTACATTATTCATTTACTCTACTCGGTTTTAGTAAGCTACTTTTGTGGTTACTGTTGCCTGGGGTAGACTGAACTAAGCAAGGTTGCAAATGTACACCATCATCACACACCACATTCAAACTTGGTACGTTGGGTGTGATGACAGTGATGGATGAGCACTCTAATCACTGAGTCACTCCAAATTGATGGCTTCAGCCTTCAACTTCTGAAAAATACTGATTAAATAAATATAGTAAATAGACCCCCAATGATAAAGTTTTCACAGTTTGTCATTGATTATAATTTTAGTAACATTTATAACCTGCAGATGTTGTGTTGATAACTATCACATTTGCTTTGTATTTTTCATTCTGCAGGGAAATACATGGATGGCAATGTCATCCTTTACCCAAGAAGAGATTAACCAGGGTTTCATTGTTTACCATCAACATTCTTCAGAACGCACAAATGACTCAATTCTACTGGAAGCAACTAATGGAGTGACCACAGTTGGGCCCATCAGGCTGGAAGTTGACATCATACCACTACTTCTACCATTGCAGGTATCATTTTCACAACACAAGCAAAGAAATATGATCTAGAATTTGATTATCATAATTTCCGATAGAGGGCAACTTACAGTTAAAGAAAGAAATATCCAAACTGAATAATCTACAGATGTTGTACCATATCAGTATTTGTTTACTCCTCTATAACTGAATAATGTTGCTACTTTATTCTGCTATTGATTTTAAATTTTATGCCATTTCTTTAGAATGTCGTCAATTGATGTGAACACAACCTGATAGTAATCGCTTATTGTCCAGGTGTCAGATTTGCGGTTGGATGAGGGATCATCGTTCATGCTAACCCCTGACATTATGAAAGTCAACAGTCATCACTTTATAGGGATGAACTTCCTGTACGAGGTGGTTGCTCCGCCTCAACACGGACATCTGGAGCACAGCAGAATCCCAGGAATGCCCATAACTGCATTCACTCATTCTGAGGTAGTGTCATGAAAACTGTCCAACATATGCCACATGGGAACATTAGGATAGTGGAGAGAATGAGTCCCCTTCCCAATTTTAAATCTGTTTTTCAATGTCTTCCTAAAAATCACAATTCAGGTTAAGTACCAACCAGAAAGTACATGATATAAATTAACATATTTTTCTGTCTTTAGGTGGAACGTGAGTATATCTCTTACATCCACGATGGAAGTGAAACCTTGACTGACAACTTCACGCTGGTGGCAAATCAAACTGAAGTCAGGAAGCACAGTTTGCCTTGTACAGTTCATATTGGCATTATACCAGTGAATGATGAAAGCCCTACTGTTACCATCAACAAAGGGTTAAAGGTCAGTAATGATGGTACTACTTCATCATTTTAGATGCTGTTGACCTCATTTGCCTCATTTTTTAGGTGTGGGTTGGGTCTGTCACTGAAATATCTGCGAATGACCTCAGTGCAGAGGACTTGGACACTCCATCTGTTGGGCTGGAGTTTGTGATCACTCCACCCAGCAACGGCCACCTGGCTCTGAAGAGTGCCCCCTCCAGGCACATCCTCAACTTCACCCAGTATCACATAGAAACAGGACAGCTTGTATTTGTACACAATGGTAAATGCAAAGAAAATATAAAAATAACAAATGTGTTCTTTAATCATTAACTACTGCTTTTCTTTATAGGTGCTTTGACTGGTGGTTTTCACTTTCAAGTGAATGATGGTGTCCATTTTGCTCCTCGTCAGATTTTTAGCACTACTGCACATTCACTAGTCTTGAATCTGCAAAAGAATCACCCATTAGAGGTTTATCCAGGTATAACTAGAGTGCAAATTAATGTACTGCATAATGTGAGGAGTAGGCACTGATTAAATAATATTTATTTTTCCATTCATTTTTCTTTGTTTCCTTATAGGCTCACTCACTCCCATCACAGCTCAGCAGCTTCAGGTGGTGTCCAGTGACATGAGCAGGAATCACTCTGTGACGTTTGCTGTCACAACTCCTCCTAAACTGGGCCGTCTGGTCCAGCGCTTATCAGACAATTCCACACGGAACATCTCAACATTCACTCAAAACATGGTATGCTTAAGTGTGCTGCTCTTTCATCTACGCCTTAATATTGCATGTGAATTAAAAAGATACATACTTTCATAAATAAGAATATTTCCTGTAGATTACAGAGGGCCTTTAAGATATCTTTTTTATATTGAAAAATTAAGTTGTTTTTATTTTTTCAAGTTAAATGCAGGGCAAGTGCTGTATCAACAAAACAAGCCTGAGATGGTTGGATGGTCAGCCACAGACACTTTCTCGTTCAGCGTGTCCTCACCTCCTGCTTTCCTCCCTCCTCACACCTTCTCCATCCTGATCTCTTTTCAAGCTAATGAGCATCATGACCAGTCTTATAAGACCAAGCTACTAAACAATGCTGGTAAGTAATAATGCATAATAAACAAAATCTAATTCCTTAAGCGCCTTTAAAACCTTCATGTTATGTCTGTTAAGGTGCAGTGGTGGCTGAGGGAGGCAAGGTAAAAATTGACAGATCTAAACTTGATGCCACAAATTTAATCATGAAGCTTCCAGATGCTGAGCAAAAAGGCCATTACATTATGTACAGTGTGGTTTCTTTGCCAAAGCATGGGGTTCTGTCTATTCAGGGACAAAATCTAACAAGGTACTACTCTTATTCTATACGCTATATCCCATAAATGTCTGAATACATTTATTATGTAGGACACTGTAATAATCAATATATGCTCAACCTACATAATATTATTGTTATGGTAATTTAAATGTCAAAACAATCAATAGTTCTACTTTATTTCACTTCCTTTATAAGTGTATGTAACTTTTCTGGTGAAGGATCTGCCACCTGTTTGTTTCCATTTTTATTTCTTTGCCCCAATTTTTCCAAAGTGTGGTATTAACTGGTCAGTCCCAATGGAGACAAGCAAGTGACACCACCAGGTCAAGACTGTGGAGAGAGTGACCCCTCTATAAAGCTGTACTCTTTTGAGATGATCAGGTGGCAGACCTTATACCTTAAAATATTACATAGTGTACCTTTTTACATTATGAGCATAAAATACTATTAATGTTTTGTCATCACATCCCCTGTGTACTTGCTAATGTTGGTATTGTATTCCATTGTATTATGCATTTCTCATATTGGAGAGGAACTAATGCTTGCCTGTTTTGGTTCCATCTAGGGACAAACCTGACTTTTCCCAGGCCACTCTAAACAAGCACGGCATCACTTATTTCCATGACGACTCAGAGACCACCAGCGACAGCTTCACTTTCCGGGCCTGGATCGCTCCTCTGGACATGTCCCTTCCCTCTGCCCTCTCCTCTCTCAAAGCTCTGTCCTCTGAATCTTCCTCTTACTCCCCTCTGTACTCAGCTTCGTCATCCTCCTTGTCTCCATCCTTATCAGACCAGATTTCCCATCGACACAGCAAAACCAAAATGGCAGTAACTGAAATGTTCAACATCACAGTGACACCAGTGAACGACCAACCTCCACTCATCAGGACTCGAGGCCCCAGCTTGAAAGTGGTAGTGGGGGAAAGAGTTGTGCTTGGACCAGACTATCTTCAGGTAGGTAGGAATTAGTGAATTATGGTTTAGTTTAGGGACCATATAATAATGTAAAAGGTGTGATAAGTGCTCATTACATCCCGATTAGTATTTATAAAGGACTTATTTATGCTTATAAACAGTATTTTACAAGTATACCACCATTAATTATTTTCTTTCCCATGTTGTCTTATTCATCATTATTGTGTGTTTTTATAAATACTAACTAAAAGCTGTTCACCCAATCTGTTTATCAATATCATGTAGTATAGTATTTAGTTATTCATTTGATAAATTTATTTCACTAGTTAAGATTTAGAGAGTCCCAGAATGAATTTGGGTAAATTTTTTTATGAATCCCTGCAAACTGACAGCTGTTGTAATATCAGGCTAAACAAAGTGAATTCATATGAATAATAAAAGTAATAAAAAACTTAACTTATTTTTCGCTGCCAAATTATGTGTATATGAAAAATACATTTTTTTATTGGATAAAATATAAGTTTTACTTTTACTGTGTATTTTGCTCCAAATTAGGCCACTAATACTAGATATGATATTTCATTCATCAGATGGAATTCTATTGCAAACTTTTGTCCATTTCCAGGTTGAGGATCATGACACCCCCCCAGAGGAGCTGCACTACATGGTGATCAGTAAGCCCAACAATGGCTACCTGACTCTGGGAGAAAGACCAGAGCCAGTGACCTCCTTCACTCAATATGATGTCAACCGTGGACGCCTACACTTCATACAGAAAGTGAATACCTCTTTTTTACTTTAATTTACAATAATCAAATACAAATTGTTAAAGAATATCATATTATGCCTTTTTTTATTATTACATTGTAGGAAGAAAAAATTTTTTGATTTTATTCTTGAAAAGTGGCTACCTGACAGTCTTCCCTACATATATAACCTGGTCCGATCATTTTGAATCATTGCAAATACATTCAAATCAATGGGCAGAGTCAGGGGGTAGGTAAAAACAAAGATTTTCTGAAGCCTCCAATTTTGGACAATACAGAATTACTCAAAAATACATTAATCAGTCATTTATGAGGGAACACTGTCTTAATGTGGCTATAAGCTCATGAAATGTGGTTTTACATAATATGCCCCCTTTAAAGATATAACCATAAACATTTAAGATTTTACATACATTTCATTCTCAATTTTTTTTTTTTCAGGGTGAACCAATAACTGGAGTCTTCTATTTCAATGTTACTGACGGACATCACCGCCCCCTCTACAAACTCTTCAGTCTGGAGGTGGTCAAGCCTTCAGTTTTTATGGTGAACAACACTGGCCTCTCATTGGTCCAAGGAAAAACAGCCGTCGTCCTGACAACCAATCAGCTGTCAGCACAGACCAACAGCCGCCGTCCATCCAACATTACCTACACTGTCATCTCCCAACCACGCCACGGACGAATCGCCATCAACGACCAGGAAGTCACCACCTTTTACCATGAGGACTTGCAGCTTGGGCGTGTGGTATATCACATGACTGATCTCAGCGAATCAGAGGACAGCTTTGAAATCTCCGTCACAGCACATTCTCCTGGTGTGGAGTATGGGAACATCACCAAGCAGATGGTAGCAGTAAATGTTTTACCCCTGGTTTACCTGAGGGAGCCAATCCGAGTGCCCAGTGGGATAGCGGTCAAACTGGGCAAGGCCATGATAGACGCCTCAGAACTGGCCAGGATCAGCCGGGCAGACCCACTGTTTGAGGTGCTGTCTCCTCCACAACATGGGAAACTAGTCAAGGTAAGTTCAGAAATTCAACATTAAAAGCAAATGATAGAATTTCCAACCATGAACTAGGAATGTAATGATATTCAAATCTCTCTGTACGATATTTTCACGATATGCCTGCCACGGTACTATATTTATTGCGATATTTTGTGGAGGTTAACAAAATTGTGAATATGCTACTATTTCTTCTTAAAATGCCTTGACGAGACTTTGGTTTGGTCATAATCGAAAGAATTAAAAGGGTTTCAGAAAAGTTATTTCTGGACCAAAAAGAGAGCAAAGAGTTGTGATCTATGTAGCTCCCTCTGTTTTTGCGGCACTAAAATAATTAAGGACTTTTAATTCGATGTATTGTGATGGCCCATGATATTATTGTGAAACTTTGGACGTTATGATATCACGATATGTCGGTTATTGTTAGATCCCTAGAAATTACTCAGTCTATTGAAGTAAACGTTTGAAGGAGCATTTGGTCCCAGTTGTGGTTTCGGGTAAGTTGTGTGGTGCTATTTTAATGTACACTAGGTCACTTTTTTGGTGGAGGATCTGCCACTTACTTTCTCCATGATGGTGTTATTGCTTTTCCAAAAAATGTTACATAGTATGGCATTCAAATGATCTATCTAAACGGAGATATTAATTTAGCAGTAAACTTGTGCCTAGTGCAGAGTTTCTCAATGTTTGCATGTGTGTATTTACATTTTAGTCGAATCAAATTGGCATTTACATATTTTTTGTTCCCTTATATTTTTTTTTTCTGACAGATATAATCTTAAAACAATTACGGATGTAACGATATCCAAATCTCACGGTACAATATTATCATGATATGCATCTCATGGTACAATATTTATTGCGATATTTTGAAGAGGCTGATATAATTGTAGATGGAACACTTTTTTGCTTTTAAAAATACCTTGACAAGATTTTGGTGTGAATTATTTCCGTCATAATCCCAAGAATTCAACTAAAAAACAAATATCTTCATGTTGTCTGCACTGAAATGAATCATGGGATATGTAGTTTACAATGTTCATAAACTGTTACTACGATAAAACCATGCATTTAAGCAAAGGAACTTGTAATTCGATATATTGTGACAGTCCACAATATTATTGTGAGAATGTTAACGATATGATATCACAATATTTCGGTTACTACAATACATTCTCTCAGTTTATGATATACATGTCATATCTTTTCTGAATACAGATGACCTACGACCCCAGCCAAGAATATGAAATCCTCAAGTCTTTCACTTACCGAGATGTGGTCCAGGGTCGGGTCGCCATTGAGGAGACTCTAAGCGATGGAGACAGTATCCATAGCAACAAATCCCTCCTCTCCACCTCACAAGGCCACGCCCCTGCTCTGCCTCTCAACGACTCCTTCACCTTCTTGGTCAGAGCTGGCCACGTTCAACCAGCAAAAGGAGAGCTCCACTTTACCATCCTACCCCATCACCAAATGCATTATGGGCCAGGGAGCCAAGGTGACAAGGCAAGTCGCAATCACACCACCACACGCTTTCCAAGTCATAATCGAACAAGCGGAGAGAAAGGCCATCGAAAACTGGGATTAACAACACCAAATCAGACTGGAGACTATTTGCACCCACATACTTTATCACACAAAAATCACCACCATAACAAAACTCACCATAGGGGGCGCAGTCATCTCCGCTGGGGCAACCACACTCGTAGCGGGACACACGGGGGAAAATCAAGCACTCAAAATCCTGCGCAGCAAACTCCACACCCTGACAAAACCGAGTCGGGAAACCATGAAGACACGCACCCCGTTTACTACGAAATTCTGCCCCGTCCTGCCTCCGACCCTCTCCTCATAATCCTACCTCTGTTAGCCTGTCTGCTTCTCATTGTCATCCTGGTGGTTTTGATTTTGGTTTTCCGTCATCGTAAAGAAAAGCAAGCCCAGATAAGGTTGCTCCAGGAATTAGCAGCGCTGCCGCCTGTGTCCGAAGAGAGCGGTAGTCCAAGTTCGGGATGCGGGGAGAGGAGCGTAGCCATGCCAAGTGTTGTAGTCACCCCCCTTGGACCATCCAGCTGTCCGACCTCTCCGAGAACGCCAATAAGTCCCAGGAGAAGAAGCCTGGCCCCAGGGATGACATTTTGGGGTCCGTTTGATGACGATGGGAATGTTGTACAAAGGGAATTTCATGAGAAGAATAATCTAGTGCGGTGTAATGTTTATAGATCTACAGCATTTCAGAGTCCACTAAGATCAAGGTGCCCTACCCCTTCGCTTAAAGACAGTCAGTACTGGGTTTGATGAGACTAAACTGAAGAGGAACTGTGCCTTAGGTTGTATTAAGTAGCTAGAAAGAATTGTTGAGAGTTGAAGAATTTTTCCACCTGTCTCTGTCATGAAGATAATGAACAATAATGGATAAATAATGAATTGTTTTTCTGACAAATATTGCAATTTTGATCAGTGTAGATTTTTTTTAGATAACACTAGAAGCATTTTAAAGCTTGTTTGACCAGTCCCCTGGTATAAACAAATTAATGGTATGGTTAAATTATTGTGTATTATTTCCATTAAAAATAATGTGTAGAAAAGTGGTTTGAAAACGTTGTTTGTCTGTAGTTGACTGTTTTGTACAGACCTATTTGTCATGAGGTGTCTCTCTTAATAATAATTTTCTGTATAGTAGTAGACAATTTAAACATGGATTTAGAGATTTTGTTAGAAAAAAACATTGCAGTAATTTGATACTGTGATACTTTTTTTTTTTTTTAAAAGAATGCACTCTCAGTGAGTAGTTTGCTTTCAACTTTGTACTTTACCAAACATCTGTCACTTTCTCCTTGATAAAACAAGGCATCGATGAAACAATTTCCAATGTTCAATAATTGATTTTTATAAATAAAATATACAAATATTACATTGTTGACTTATGTAGTAATCGTCATTATTATAGTTTTCCCCAAAAACGACTAACCACTAATACCGAGTACCTATTGTGTACTAATATTTTCTGATAATTATGGGAAAAAAAATCATGACAATGAATGTGGAATCTGATCGAATAAACACAAGCGATGTCTAAATAATAAAGAAGCAGTAACTTGACCGTGAGTTTGGTGTCACATGTCAGCGGTGCACAGCACACAGAGGAGCTGAGCCTGCATAAGAGAAACATGTGGAAACAAGCATGCATACATACGTGCATGCATGCCATCCTAAGCATGACTCCAGAACATAGGTTTTGTACACAAGAATATATAGCACGTTATATGTTTATTTATTTGAACAGAATATATATAATATGTATATTGCAGTCACGTTAAGTTATATCTTACTAAAATATGTCACCAACAAACAGGCATCAAAGTTACTAGCTTCAAGGGGATTTTTTTGATGAGTAGATGAGTAGTTTAATTGTGTGACATGTTTCAACTGCTCATGCCTAGCAGTCTGATGCTATGGCATGTCTTGTCAGAACAACATGGAAAACCAAAAGGACTGTGTTCATGCGAAACAATGATGATGACCAATGCTAGTGAATTTTAACGTCGATGTGCAAGTACATGAGATTTGAAATACAATGGAATGTTTCTGAAAACATTTGGATCATTATTCCTAATACATAATACAATAGGCTCCATTGAACTTTAAACAGTATGGTTTAATGTTTAGTGGGACAAAGACAGTCTGTCTGTATATGACTCAGTCTCTAGTGATCTAGTGACAATACCAGAATGATGATCACAGCATGTTGTTATGCCCAACTTTAGGTAAACTGAGGCTTTGATAAAAAATAGTTATATAAATGAAATATATATTTAAGTGTATCTGTTGAAGTTATCTTCACGCAGTGTGAAGAACTTAAATAGGATTGTCTGATTAGGACGTTGCCAGGAGCAGTCAGTCATGTTCAGTCTTTCTTGGTTACAAATGGTAGCCCTACAGCGCTAAGAATAGTAAAAAAGACTAAATTCAACTGCTCATGATGCACCGTTAAAGGCTATACAATACTGAGCAGGTCATTCAAGTAAAAACAAACCAGAGGACAGATGGTAGAGACCACATCCAGTTCAAGTCAAGTGTGTGTTGTTGTAAGGATTTCCAGGCTGTTCCCATGAAGCTGTAGGTTTTCAGTAGAAACAGATCACGTGACCATGACACCGGGAAGCTGCAGGCACAGTGCATACAGCTGCTTTTAATATTACACTTAGAAGATTTGCCTCGGGCGTCGTCAGCAAAACCCACGCTACTGGTACATTCATCAGGGCTCTTCAAAGAATCCAGGAAGTTTTTGAAGTTCCAGTGACCTACTTTTTCATATTTTTCATCCAAAGTCCTCTCCTCTCTTTCCTTTCCAAGTCTACTGCTCGTCATATCTGTGCAGCGCGTCCTCCAGCTTGGCCGTGATCTTTTGGAAGAAGCTGATCTGCTGTTGAAGGTGGTGCTGCATCTGGGAGCGGAAGTCTCGTACACGTGTGCGGTGGAAATGCTGAATCTCTGCAAGCGTGGCACATGAGATGATGTTACAGCGGTCATGGAGTGCACTCTCCTGCTGAGGACAGTCCTTCACCTTGGTCAGAGCACCTACAAGACCAACAAGTTTGATTTAGAAAACGTTATATAATTTGGATCTATGCTGACATAATAGGACAATCGTCACTATATTTTATATTATATTTAAATATAAGTAACATTAAGGTTGAAGAACACCACAAGCACAAACATTTCAGAAAACTGAAATATGAACTGAATCACATGCATTTCAGAGCCAGACATATATTTGGGGACAAAATGCATTTATGTTGACTATATAAAGTATGCTTTGAACCTCTAAAATTGTCCTATTTTTTTATTTTGTTTTTATAATTATTTTGTAAATAATTATAATTTTTGATTAAACAAATTATTTGGACATCCCTAGAAAATGATATTTGGCATTTTTAAGCGAGCCTAGTCTGGAGATCTCAAATAGAAAATTTGTTTTCATAAAACAGAATTGTATTTTTGCTCTTTATTGACAAAAACATGCTTTGAAATGGGGTGATCTCTTTGAAACACTACAATGTCCTTCTACACATCTACCCAGTTACTTCTTACATTATGTCATACAGTCATTACATGAAAGACAGGAAGCCATGTACAGCTGACACATTATCAGCTTGATGAAGTCACTTCTATATATTTCTATGTACTTAGAAACCACTCATATGAGCAAAGTCCATGTTCATATGAGCCTGTTGCTGCCAAGGCGATTACAGAGCCTTAATCTAAACTCTGAACTGTACTGTGAACTTGGAGAGGGAGAGTTGGAACCTCCTGAACTGCCTCCTCACCCCAGCCTTATTCATAAGTTTCCTTCTCTGATTCTAAATCCTGCTATAAAACCAAGAAGAGGGCGGAAAAGAGGGCGAAGAAAGGGGGAGGAGGAGGGAAGAGAGGAGGAGGGGAGGCTAATCCACTCTGCATTCCTTCTATCCCAGGACACCACAGGACAAGAGGCCCAGGAATCTGTGCTCATTCAAATCAGATGGAATCAGCAGTACACAGCACAGTCAGATGATGTGATCCTGAAGGAGCAGGGTGAGTGAGATGGATAGAGCAGCTGATTGATAATACTGTATATGACATGATTAGTTTATGACAAAGTTTAGATATTAGAGGAATGGAAGATAAAAGAAGTACTCCCTGTTCCTTTAGGGAACAATAGTTGAAGCAACAAACTTAATCCTGTTACTATTTAAGTATTATGTATTAGGTGCAAAATTCACCACAAAAGAATTTAATTTGCAATTAATACTGCTTCTACTGTGTTTATTAGATACATATTATATTAATAATCACAATGCAGTAGTATTATATAACCCTCTTCACTCAAAGTCACTACTGTGCCATTATGTTATATACATCTAAGTTCTAGTATTGGCATTTCAACAACTGCATTGCTCTATGAATTCTTACTACACTACTAAGTAATACTCACCAGTATGGCTCATTTTCTTCTAACTTTGCAATTTCAGGTAAACAAGTTTTCAGCTCACACAAAACTAGGTTTGCCTTGAATTCACCAATTTGTCTTTTTAGAAACTGACAATGCAATTAACTTAACAAGGCCTGGTGAAGCAGTGACTCCAGCATGTCTTTTCTCAGATGTGGTCATTTTACAAGCTCAGCACAAACATTATATTGTGCAGATGAAGTGAAGGGAGTTACCCAGAAAACAACAAGAGCCTAAAACGTCTGATGACAGCAACTCTGGGTTAGTGATACACATACTCGTGTGTACTGTCATATCTTGTTTTATTTTTTTGTTTGTTCGTTTTTTTGTTTATTACATGTTTTTTTTTTCCTTGAGTGGAGGACTACCTTATCCATCTGCACCTCATTGAGTCATTGTTCTTTGGGAGATTTCTATGTTGACTCTATTCCATTCCACTTAGGGCTGTGAAACGTATAGAAAATCAGATACCAATCGAAAACTAAAACTAGTATCAAAACTAGATACTCATTTGAGCAAGTATTGATGCTAAAAAGTCAAAATCACAGGACAGAAATTAACCTTTAATGAAGAGCTTTAGAATGATCTTGAGCTGTATTAGAACAAGTAGAAAACTACATATATGCCCATGGACGACTATGAAAGCAACCTGAATGATTGAAGGATTACACAGATATAAGGCCACATGATGATATAAAAGTAGTTGAAAATGACATTCTACTGTCCTTATAAAGCTTGTTTTATTGTCATCATGGCATTGAAATAAGAAATGGGGTTTCATAACATGCAATAATTGTATGTTCACAATGTTATGACAGTAAATGAATGCTATAATAGGCAATTGATTTACCTCTTTTCTATTGGCACAAGCTAAAATGTATGGATGTATAATTGCGGTACAGGTCAGAGATGCAAACTAATTAGACATTCATGATGAGACTGCGTTCCAACATTAGACATACAGAAAGTTCAGTAAACAATTACCATAATTTAAGTTAAGTTACCCTCAACATATCTACTGTTACTCAAATTGAATTCAATCATGTAGATGTTGCATTAGTTGTTCTAGTAAAAATACTTGAAACAGTGGATTCAAGCAGCACTTTAACAGATAAAGTCATGCTATCATAAAATATAACAAAAAGCAACAATCTGTAACATAAACTGACCCTCTGACTACCAACTCCATTCTAACAAATGATCCAATCAAGCTAGCCCAGTGTAACTTCCAGAGTAAACAAACTTGGTGAAAAGTAGGTCAAAAGTCCTGCCCATCACTGTATTGCTATGTGGAGATTTATCCATAGCTCTGGCTTGTGTTTCTATCAGGAACGCCTCTGCTTCTAGATTTGGCTCACATCAGGACTTTGTGAGCCAATCATCTGTAATCCCTCCTTCCTAGTCTGTACAGCATTAACAAGCAAGCACAACTGCAGGGCGTCTATTGTACATGAGTGTGTGTGAACAGGGCACCAGGCACAATGCACCGGCCCTAAGTCTCAGCTTTCAACCTACATTGACTCTGCAGTTCGGTAAATGAAAACACATGTGCCTCGGTTGGGGAGCAAGGGGAATGGAGGCTTTGTGAGTTGTCAGTCTGTACAATAAAACAAGAACAGGCTGCAGGCTGGTGATTGGCTACATTAAGCAGGCATTTGGACATTTTTTACACAGGGAAGTGCCATTTTAGGAAATAGTGGGCTGTAAGTAACAAAGCGAGACTAAATCTGACTGATACAAAGGATGTAATCAGGCCTACGAAGAAAAGCAACAAACTAACCAGGTATAATACACATAAGAGTAAACTAGGACAGAA